CCTCACAGAGGAAGTCTCAGATCCTCTCCAATCAATAGCTTCGCCCCCTCTCTCTGTTACAATGCCCGAGTCTTAAACCATCATCTCTGTCCCTTACTTCCCTTCCCCACTTCTACCCGTCTATCCCCACCTCCCAGTCATCGCAACTCGCCTTCGAACTTGGTCGAGCCAAGTTTTAGTAATTGCCATTACCTGGGGATGATGCGTGACATGAGTTCATCTCTCGATAGCGCCTTGCAACTGTAGGCGGATGTTACGACGGCGACGACGTTACGATGCTGTTACGACGACCTTTGGACGAAACTTGAATGAACGCTGATGTACTGCGGCGCTTAGTGGAGTAAAAAACGGAGTAAAAAAATGAAATTTTTCAACAATAATTGAGTCGCTGGGGGACGGGATCAAGTCGGACGATTGCAGCGGCAGCCGTTGCAGACGAAGAGTGCTGATAACTGGAATGCAGCAACACACTGCTACAATGGACCGCTGGATGCCAAACACGGAACACGGGACATGGGACACTGAACGACCATACGGAACACTGAATACTTTACAACAAATTTACAGGCTTAAATACTCATCACAGAGGGCGGGACAGATCACAGGCCAATTTGCTGCGCGATTCTGAATTGCTCTTTGCTTCTCCTGCGCGCCATCTTTTGCTCGCTCTACACGCATATCGAGAGGTCAGAGCCATTCCGTGGCGGCATCCGAACTACATCTGAAATTCCTAGCAGCCCCTCACCTTCCGGTTGGCGGCTCGCTGACCGGAACGGATCAAGGATCTAATGGTTACTTAAAACAAGATAATGCGGGTGATCCAGTCTTCCTGGTATGTACCAGTGTCAGTTTGTCGTCGAAATCAACAACTCGCTCAGAAGCTGGTTTTCTTGCTAGCAAAATCGAACCATCCACACTGATCTGAGAAGTACCAAGTTCAACAACTTTGTGTTAAGCAGAAACCAGTTGACTTAGTGTGCGATGCTATTTTCATGTGTTTTTGCTGTGCAACGTTATAGCGCCGCTACAGCGAGCAAAAACACATATTGTCGACAGGTTGTAAGCGTGTGTGTGTGTGTGTGTGTTTGAAAGCGAGTAAACTTTGTCTTTCACTTTCAACTCAGTAATAAGGAAAACTAGAAGGCTGGAATTGTGGAGCTACACTCCGCCCCTGTATTACCCTCATGTTTTAAAATCTTCGCTCGTACGCGCCTGAATTTCGCGCACGGATTCCCGAAAAAATATGCAAATCTCTTTGGCAAGAAACATTTTCGTGAACCAGACAACACAGAAAGCTGAAACTTTGCAAGGTATTCTCTGTGCATGTATGGGATAAAAATTTCACATTCAGCTGTCGCACGCACTAATACCACGAGTACAATCATGCCAAAGTTCTCAGTTGGCACTTTGCCAACCCGAAAACTAGCCGGAAAACAGTAGCTGACATTTTGTCAGAATATTTATTGTTAATTTGAAAAATCGCGCACCTAAACTGGGTTTCGACTAGGGCACTCTTAGAGATATTTGTAGCAAAGTAGCTATTTCGCTTACCAGAAAAGCTGCAAAGCTGAAACTTTGCAAGAATATTCTACATTCATATGTGGTCTTAATCTAGCTTGGAGGTGAAATTCAACTGCATTGTAAATTTGAAAGCGAGTGCATTTTGCAGCTTTCATAATCCTCTTGCGACCTTTCAAATTTGCATTTTTTCAATGAACGAGCATTCACAAAAAAAAACGATCGGGCTTCATGCAAAAACTAATAAACATGCAAGTTGGAAATCTGTGCGGCCCGACAATGCAACACCTTCATCCCAGCCGACGCCCTTTTTCCTGCATTCGAAAAGAGGCCAAAACGAAGCGAATATGAGCATAAGTGTTAAAATATAGTGCAGGAATCATTGCTGTTTTAGCGGTCTGTAAATTCAGTGCAAAAACGCATAATCGCAGCAGCAAACCTGGTGTTGCCATCTGGGTTTAATATTTGTAAAAAATCCGTAACCAGCAGTGCCCTTCTTACTAATATTTATTATTTCCTGGCGCTAAGAAAGTAGAGCAGAGGAGAGCTAAACTAGCCATAAGATGCTCAGAACAGGTTCATTCAGGTAGTGCTCGTTGAAAATGAAGAAACAGCCGCGGTTGAAGGTTATGGCGTGTTCAGAAGAGATCGCATCCTAGCACTCTATGCAGACAGTACCGAGAAAGCGCATGCCCTTATGCAGAAAATACTTCGAAGTTTGAAAAATGACAAGGTATAAAGCATCATTCTTTCGAATTTTCAAGTTAATCGGCCGTAAACTTGCAAGTCAGGGAAGCGATTCGAAGAGGTCTGAACACCAAATACACACACACCCAACTCTAATAGAAACAAATTCTATTTTGTGCTAATCATCCTGGATACATTTTCTGCTTACTGATTAGTCAAAAAGCTCTCATTTCAAGTAAAAATTAAGAACACGTTCAAAAAAGTCTCTGAAATATTGAACTTCCAGTTTTTTCACCACCGCCCCTCCCCTCATAAAGCTCATCGTATTTTGAAACTGAAACTTACATGAGCGTACTGTTTTTCGGAAGTTTTCGTCATGAGAACCGAAAACCCGCGCTGAAGTAGCCGTGTAGCAATTCACAGATGAAAAGTTTATCTTTTAATTTGAAGTACACTTGCTCTTATCTTTGCCTTTATTTTGGTCAAATCACATAGGCCGACAACGAATTTACAGCACCGAAAAACAGCTTGATTCACACTCTAAAAGCGCATCGGACACCTATTTTGCGTGCATTATGAAAAATTTGCGCAGCAGTTACGAAAACATAGCACAGCCATGAAACACCAGGTGCATTTGACATGAAGTTAGTGGATTCCGGAAGCAGCAGCTGCATCCTGGGTGCAGTTGGTAAATCAAGGAAGCATCAGCTTTATTTTGAATGTAGCTGGTTAG